GGGGAACTTTTAAAACAAAATATGAGAGATCTTTAGGACATCAGATCTTATGGTTCTGGGTCTAGGACCAGGTGGGCAAAGGACATCAAGACTCGTCTGAAATAAGAGACTAAAAGAAATCTGCTTGTTTTCAGTAAATATATCAATGACATTAGTATTCCTCATGTTAGGGGGTCTGAAGTAGCTGCCATTTCCTGCATTCTGGTGCATCTGAACAGACCTTTACCTGCACAGGTAAACACTTGGTGAGGATTCTATCAATCCAGAGGAATGAATTTGTTCAGCAATAGAATCACTGGGTAAACAAATTTATGCAAAATGTGGAGTTAAAAAGAATTCAGTAGTTACTGTGATGTCATTTTATTTATAAAAAAAAAGTCAACATAAATTTTAAAAACATTTACAAAGAACAAGCTTTCTCAGTTTTAAACCCTCTTCTCTGTTAAAATTTTTTAACTTGTTCAAACTACATCTGTATCATTATCCCAAGCTATTCTTTATTTGCTTTTTTCATAATACATTAGTTTTAATAAATATGATTTGGGTCTGTGAGAGAAAACCCACTCCTGCACAGGGAGAATATGGAAACACAACTCAGAAAGCTGATCTAGTAACTTTCTTAGAGGCAACATGTTGCTCCAACAACTGTGCCAGTGTGCTGCCTAATTTTATATTTATTATAGAATTATTTAATGAAAAATATATAAATCAATCAAACTTCCCCCTCTTGGTATCTTGAGAATTCTCTGCATCATTAAATGCAACATGCAGTTTCTGCATGTTGGAGTGCCTACAAGATGCCCACAAGGGGGCAGTACAGAGCGGTGTGTGCAAAAAGCTGTAAACAAAGTCACTTTTAAACTTTAGTGCAACAGTTTTAGTCTCCACATAAAGCTTACAGCGTTGTCTGTGTTTATCATCATCATTCATTTCATCATTAATAAAATGACCAAGGTATTTCACTTTTTTAAAAACTTCAATAAAAATGTTGGATCATTTGAAAATTTAGCCATTTATCCTGTTTGCTTCTACATATCAACATATGGAGAAATAGGCAAATGGTTTTGATTGAAATGTTTGCAAAAATTGCATTTTGTCAAAACATAATGAATAATTGCTTTATCAAAGTATCACTTGAATGAACTGTCTGAAATATAATCAGAAAACAATATTCTGAAGTAATGTTTTGAGCAGTAGCAACCAAAAACCTGATTTTGAGTAAAAACACTTTAAAAGCTGGAGATTTTCCCTGAGCTAGAATTGTTTTTGGTGTTTTTTCCAGCTGGGAAATCTCAATATTCAAGTACTGTTTGAAGTTTACTCTCATAAAAAAACCATCCTTAAAGTGATATTAAATAGGATTTAGACCAAATATTATTGTAACCAACAAGACAAATTATATCTGGATCCACTTATGATATCAGAATGAAGCAGGTATCAAAATATAGCTTTTAAAGCCAGGAATCTGAAAGAAGCAGAAACACAGTTTCCCCATTTAACCTGCATCTTCTCATGATCTTAGACTCACATATCCAGGAACTGCCCYTCTCTTTCATTTATCAAAAGTTTTCTGTGCTTCACTCTGTCAATTATGGAAGCGTAGAGCTGCCACATGACATGAAATTATTTTGAAATTTTGAGATTAGCACTCCTTAGGTTCAGCTGTGTTGAACCAGGGCAGCTCCAAAACCATGCAGGATATCTGCCCTTGAGGACCAACTTTGGAAACCARRGCTTTAAGCCCACAGGGTTTTAGAAGCAGCATCTCCTTCAGTTCTGTTGTGGGCCTAGTACTGAGCCCATTGGGCTCAACAGGTTAACTGAAGACACAGTTTATCACAAAATGCCAGAAAAAAAAAACATTCAAAACACATCAGAGTAATTTTTTATTGTTTTAATATCAGATGCAAGTATATGAAACATGTTAGAGGATAAATATTTACAATAAATGTTGTGTAACACACAAAACCAGGAAAAGCAAACATGTAGCTAAAATGCAGAGGACAGGAGTTCAAAGCGCTTGCAGTCTACCTGAAGGGACACTTAAAGAATCAGTGAATGATTGTCAACCAAAAAGTGAAGGAAAAACAACAAAAAGGGGGAAATTCAGTGAAACTCCAGACAAAAACAAGTAGCTGAAGGCATTTAATAGAAAAACAAGTTRAAATCTTTAGCTTAAATCTGAGTTTATTGTTGCCTTCTGAGGATAATCGGCACAGGAGGAACCTTCACGATCAGATCGACCGCGCATTGACTGCTTTCAACACCACCTCCAAACTGTCCGCCCATGTGGAAAACTGAATAATATATACAAACTCCAGGYAACTCCCACCACTGCTAGCCTCAGTAGCAAAATATGCAATGTGAAATATCTGTTCCTTATATATATGTACAGCTTTAAATCAGATGCAAAGCGTTGTGTTGTGTTTACCATGAACCCTGAGGAAATGTGTTGAGTTTAATTGTCACTAAACCCCAAACCAGAGAACTGCATGAAACATCAGCCACAACGATCASAAGACTGACCCGTCCACGAGGAAAAACTTCACAGTCACTGCAAGTCACACTATAAGGCTACCGTCACACCGAGTTACGTCTCCGGTTCACATGGCGTGCTAGCTCAGGGTACACAAACTGAAACGATGGCACAAGTGTGGGGCCGATCTTTGAGTCATTACATGTTCAYGTTATGCAGTAGTGTCGATTACAGCTGATGCTATGCAGTTAACTATTTTACARGGGGATGGTTGTAATGAAAAAAGAAAAGAAAAAGGAGGAACGGAACAGGTTTTTCGCAGTAGTACGCTGTATACTTTTTATTAAATACACACAAAACAAGACAAATGGCTTGAATGATGAGGAGAATCTTGCTGGTGCATTCAATCACAGGAAAAAAATCTAATAAAAAAGTAAAGAAAGCTGCTCCACCATTGATTAATTCATTGTTCTACTGATCAAACAGCAGCTCTGGAGCTACGTGGGGCTTGGAGATCATCAGAGAGAGGAAACGGGTCACAATCTAAAGCTCAAATAAAGATAGACCTCTGCACTTTGACTTCCCTTCACCAGAACAAAGTAGTTTTCAAGGGATTATCTCGTAACGTCAGCTCATTAACACTGTGAAAGCAGAGTCCGACTACATCTATTCCATTTATTCAAACACAAAAAAGCAGTCATCCAATTCAAACAGTCAATAAAGCCCCCAAAGTCTGCTGAAAGTATTACCTTTAATAAGATTTGCCTATATCTCTGCAGGCATTTGCAAATAAATTTCAACGAATGAACTTTTCTCAGAGGCTCTTCACAAGGATGACCTGACAGACTCTTCACTCTACTACAGGTTCAACCAAAACCTCGCTGGACTTTGTATTTTATGCAAAGTTGGTGGGTTTCCAGATGGCCAAGGCTGTCCAGAGGAACACTGGGGGCGAAACCTTAATGCTTACAATAAACAGGCCAAGAGGCCAAGGATAAGAGGACAGGGGGCCGGAGCGACAGGATCCTGGAAAATCCACCCAGCTCCAGGTAAATTCATCCTTAACAACGCGGTGTGGTATCAAAAGTAGATCTGCTTGGCGTGAGACGGGTTCTGCTCCATGGGGCAGTAGGGGCATTTCAACCTGAAAATGATAAGGGCAAGGAGGMCATGTTATTACTGTGTCCTAAATTTGGTGCAGTAATTAAAGACGCTTCACTGTAAGAGCCACGGCTGGAACATATTTTGATCCTGGAAGGTCCAAACCAAACTTCACACTTACTTCCCAGCGTTGGTGAGCTTGTTGAGTGCGTCTCTGGAGATGACGTGGCCACAGATGAGCTTCATGGGAGGGTTGCTCTCTGAGGTCTGCTGCCGAAGAATGGGGCAGGCGAACACAGAGTGGTACCAGCACTTCTTGCCGAGGTCGATTTCAATCTGATCCCACAGACAGAGAGTGACACGGGTGAAGGCTGGGAGCGAGCTAAGAGTTATTTTAGAAGAGGTCTGACAGAACTTACAGGCAGCTCGTCTTTGTGTGTCCAGACACCACTGCACTGTCTCTGCTCGATCACCTGTTTGATGTTCATTAGCACGGGCAGGGCCATGCAGCCTGACGCAAAACTGAAACAGTCCAAAGCTCAGCACTGCTCACAACGCTCGGGTAATATTTTAACACAAAATCACAACAAATTCAACAACTTGTGCAAGAAGGATGAAAACAAAATTAATTATTTTTTACTTTAGACTCATCTCTGTTAAGAAAGGGTTAATAAAAATAATAATGTGACATGGAGTTTGCTGTCCTGTTGGTGTTCCTCTCACCTAACACTTAGCGGAGACTCCACAGAGAGGCCCAGCAAAGCACAGGCGTCCCTGGTGAAGATGTTGCAGATCTCAGCCCACTGATTTGTCTCCAGCAAACTGCGATATGGGGAGTTCTCTATGCCGTGACGTAGATAAACCAGGCTGCCCATTAAGATCTGGATATCTGCAAACAAGGAAAACATAGTAACAAAAACAAGGATTACTGTATTTGTTAGTAAGGATGGGGCCATTCCGATCCAGTGTTGGTATCGGGCTCTGATACAGACATAATCAACAAATCTGAATTTTTCAATCTAATGTAGGGAGATTTCCAACCCAGGAGCCGTGTCTGTGCTTTAATGTTGTCTGCTGAAATGACTCTAGAAGTGATTGCTGTCTGGCTGCAGAATGGATTTTCTGAACAAATGAGAGTCTCAATGAGACACCCCTCGGTTCAGAAAACCCATTCTCCAGTTTGCAACCAGCTCTGTGGCTAAAACAACTTTTCACATGACTTTGTGTGTTTAAAAGTAGAGACTTCAACTATACGCCAGTTTTTAAATTGTGTTGATAGGCCAAATAGAACCAGAGAAGACAACCCAGTTCTCAGAAAGGACGCAGATGGTCAGTTGTTCGGCTCGACATGCTGTTATTTGTCGAGCGCCAAAAATTCTGCAGGACGACAAAAAAAAATAAAATAAAAAACGTGAACGTTGATGAAGTTTGGTGGTGATGGAGAGTGGGAGTGAGATCAGTGAAATTTATGATATTTAGCATGTTTGGATTTAATAATTCAGGTGTAGTTTAGTATTGAGCATTTTGTTTTTATCGTTTTAGTGTGTTTGAGTCAAAACAATGGGATGACTGTGTCTCATTTGTTGTGTCCTTGGGCAAGACCCCTCTAATGCCTCTGACGTGTGTCCCATCAGTGTATAAACATAATTAGCACTGATTGGTCTTCATAGATTGATTTGTATGTGGACATCTAGTAGAGAGTTGTGTGAATGGGTAATAAGGACACAGKTAGTAGTGTGAAGTATCCTGGTTGGACAGAAAGGCACTATACAAGTACAGTCCATTTACAATTTAAAAAGCTGTACTGATTATGTGGAATTATGTTTTTGGACAACTTTTATTTTTTAATGAATGTTCTTCAAAGAAAAAATAACTTTAATCCAATTGAAATTTTCTAATAAAACAGATCATCTTTAAAAGATGATAATTTTTCTCCTACAGGAAAGAATTACTATTACTTTAGAAAAATGACCAGATCATCCTTAATTTGAAACTAGATACAGATATCCTCAGTGACTGAAAAAATGTGCTTTCCTTGAAATGTTCAATTAAATTTGTCTGGTCTAAGCTCTAATAATTCCTACACAGATTGGTGATTCATCACAGGGTTCCTACAGCTTAAGGGAAGTAACATTTAAGACTTTAAGACCTAATCATTTTAAGACCAACTTCACAATAAACATAAATGGAAAAAACCCAGTTAGCAACAATTTTAGCCAAATTCTTATTTTAAAACAAAACAATGAGCTGCAAGAGGCATTCGGTCAATATTTAAAAAATAAATAAATAAATGTTACCAATTATTGTAATATTTGAGACAAATTACAGTCATCCTACTTACGATGTTTTAACATTTTTAAGACCTCTGATAAATTGATTCAAGACATAAAAAATATTGCTTTCATTCAATTCTGATTTTTTTCAGCATTTTAAGTGTCACTCGTGACCTTTATTTTTGTCTGTTACCATTAGGTCTCAAAAACTGCAATAAGTTGTATTTTTTTTAAACTTTCAAAGCAGTTTTCCACATTTTCCTGAGTTTAAGTGTACATTTTTGTTTTATACCTAGTCAAATCTGAGTAAATGTATTGTTCCAGCTGACTGTACGTCCTCCACAGATGTTARAGTTTAGTTTAGTTACAGACCTCTCTGGTGCTGAGAGGCGAAGGGCTGGAAGTGCCTGGCATATTGCAGGGCCTCCATTTGGTTGCTGATCCCACCGCCAAGGAGACTTATAAAGTACAAACGGTGCAACTTGAACTCTAAACTGCTGTTCAGCTCCAGGAGGCGCTGGCGATTTGTGACGGCCCACCTAAGAAAGACCAAACACAAACAATTTCAAACAGTGAAAATGCGTCAGTTTAAGAATTTTGACCAGAAACTGAAAACCTGAAAAGGAAAAATTCCCTTGTGTCTGAAATATGGTCAAAATAAACACACAATGAAAATAAATTACAATGAGTTTGTATAAAGAAAACCTACTCTAAAGCCGGTCTGAGATCTTGCATCCTCAGAGCTTCAAGAATCCTGTTTAGTTCAAGGAAAGGTTGCTTCATACTCATATCAATCACTACACCAGACTCCTGAAAATAAGAATGCAGATAAAGTTAAATAGTATTTGAAACAAGCATCAGCTGAATATATTCCAGTATTCATTAATAAATACAGTATTTTACAACACTTATAAACAAAACAAGAATGCTGACTATTTGAAATTTTAAGAAGCATTAAGGTGCCACCTTCATGTCAGATTAGAGATCCCCAATGTCTGCCATTTAAAAACAATCAACTGTATTTAATAATATAAATTATGAAGTGTTTATTAATGGAATTTTATGTACCTTAAAAACTTGACAAAGTTRATTAAAGAGCACATTAAAACTGCAAACTACATATCAAATATTGGCTACTAACCATCCTACCCCTAAATACACACAAAAACATACAGCAAATGAAGCTACTGTGGAACAGGTTGGTTTTTTTAAGTCACTAAAAAAGGTTTGTGATCCTGAGGCGAGAGTTATTTTCTCCATCTGTCACAGAATCTTTATCTTCTATCACCCGTTCCTCCATACACACTGATCAGAAACAGTTAAATCCATCAAATCAGCGCAATATGTGAAGTTCGTGCACTTTCTGCTCTAACAACCCTGAAGATCTCACAAGACAAAAGAAATAAAAGCARGACAAAGCAAAGTCAAATCAGGCTGTTAGAAAGCAGAAAACAAGATGAAACACTAGTACTCCAGTTCTAAAAGAGGAGAGGGGGCACAGCTGAAATTTGTGGTCTTGTGACTTTATATCATGTGTGACTTATTTCTTCCTTTTCAAATACCAGACAGAACAAAATCATTCCACCTTAGTTGGACTGCAGTTTGTTACTACCTCTCCAGTTCTGAAGACCCTTTGTGCGGCACATTCATTTTATTTCCACGGTACAAAATAAAGAAATTATTTTGTTGAGATTTTTTATGTATTTTAGTTAACTGATCATTATTATCCAGGTTAATGCTCACTGGGACTCTTTAATTTCAAACTAATTTGTTGTTTAATCTGTCAATGACTGAACAGTTCACAGAGGCTACGTTCACACTGCAGTTCTTGATGCTCAGTTCTGATTTTTTTTAAATCCAATCTTTTGGTGTGAACGTTCACATTACATTTTAAATGCGACCTGCATCAGACTCCAGTGTGAACGCTACACAGCACTGATGTGACCTGCATGCGCAGTAGCCGGCTTGTTTGTTTACAGAGTTAGCATGGATGCTACTTTTAGTGTGTCGAATCTGAAGTTGTTGTTTAATCAGAGCCTATTTAATAATTATCTGACGCTTGTTTAGTTCAGTGTTTATATCTGAACCTGCCACTGACTGGGATGGTCCAGTGAAGCTTTTTAGTTTTGGAACGAAACAACGAGCTGGAAAAAAGTATCGACTGAGTAACTTTAGGATCGATACGCTCCGCGAACCAGGCTGGATGTTACTATCTACATGGAAAATGAAAAGTAAAAAGATGAAGCAAATGGACTTGTGTTTTGGAGCTGTAAACACATGGAGCTACAGATTTAAACAGTATYACTTGAGGTTAGTGTTTTATCGGTCCTTCACCCCCTCCTCCCTGATGAAAAAGTCAGATGGAATGTGACAGGTGTTCACACTGCAGTCACTTTGAAAATATCAGAAACAGTGCGTAAAGTAAGTATTGAACACGTCACCATTTTTCTCGGTAAATATATTACTAGAGGTGCTAATGACATGAAATTTTC